TGCCAATGGCAATGTCCAATGGTAGCATCGCAAGCATACCCTGGTCCAAATCATGATCCCACACAACGGTTTCTTTCTCTATTTCGAATTTCCCGCTACCGCTGTTTGCAGTTCGAAAATGATTTTTTTACACTTTCGTAGACGATGATGCTACATGTATTAGTAGTATCGTAACGTGACTCGCATTCAGCTGTTATCTGCGTTTTTACGTCGCGTTCAGTCGTGATTTGTTCTCCAAGTGATACGGTCTAGGAGTGCAAAGCGCGCGATGTTTATTTCTTATAATTTTAGATTTTTTCTATTTCATTCTATTTCATTCTACTTCATTCTATTTTATTTTATTCAATTCTATTCTTTTTGATTCTACTTTTATATTCTACTCTATTCGGCATTATTCTACTACATTTCATTGTAAACAATAGAAACAGATAAATTTAACAATTTCAAAAGTGTAGCGAAACGATGCCAAAGGTTGTGAATTCAGTGGATTGGGAGGATGTGGTTTCTTCCCAATCGTTCAGACGTATGAAGAGGGGTGCATCGAAAAATCTGACCTTGAACAGAGCAAGATACAGCAAAAGAAAAATTATGAAGGAGAGGTAAGTGAACATTTTGTTTCATTAGTATGATTTCGGTAATATGTTTCGATATAATTTAAATGGTAAGAGCAAAAGTTCTGATTACCGCTGGAAATACATTTTTTCGCTTTCTCGCTTTTGTACTTCCATTTCTCGGATTTTTATGATATTGACATATGCTGTAGTCCACATGCAATCATTAGAATGAAGTTGTAAAATAAAATCGACGGGTCGAAGTAGCTGATTAGTGTCATTTATACGTTATTTATATTACACCTAAATTTCTGTATCATCGAAAGCACTGACATCGAGATACAAAAGTGATCCGTTTGACATGAAATTACCTGTAAATAAATGGGGGCGTTCAGACGAGAATAGGGTATCGCAAATACCTATTATCGGCATCCTCGGTTGGTTGTCTGCCGACGTTACCGACAATTACGACCGTTTGAATACAAATGAATTACACTAATTATTAGCTGGATTTTGAAATTCTACATTCTAACTTTCTACTTTCGATTTGATTACTGTAATTACTAGGAATTTTTGGGTTTGCTATCCGACACAGGATGCTGACATATTCAAAGTATATTTCGTTGTATTTAGTTTACTATGTTCACTTATAATATTGTTGAATGTGTAAATATTTATGTTTTCCTGTTTCTATGATAAGTATCATCCTTATAGTTGCTAATTTTCTTTTAGTACTATTGCTTAGAATGACAACAGAATGTTGAAAATTTCACCGAAACCAATTGACATTCGTACGAGCTGTAAAGAATTAAAGATCGCAAATATTGCTATTTTGTCCCGATTTTTGACACTTTCGACCAATAAGTGTGAGAAATTTACAGTTTTTACAAACTTTTAACGCTTGTAACTTGATCTGATTTCGATTAGATTTCCAGTAAGCATATAACTTATGCTCTACAAAGCAAAAATCTACAAAAAGCATTTTTTTAAATTTCGTTACAGGCTCAGATAAAGAAGTTAAAAAACGAGTTATTTATTTCAGCGAAGGAAAATTGCAAAATTGAAAAGATTTTAGCTCGCGAGTCATTAGATTCGCTCGAGCGTCCCGGCGCAATGTCGGGTCGCACACTTAGTGTGCGCTTTCGCTGATTATTTCAGTCATAATATCATTATTTATTTTCAGTTATATATAATATATCCGTTCGACTTCACATCTGCGACCCGGTATGTATACGAATTCATGTATTATTAAACGTTTCGGCAGGTTATTAATTTTTATTTGCATGTTGCAGATGATGTTCACGCGGATCGACAGTGAAGTGTGTTTGCGATGCTACCATTGAACATTACCATTGGCAGACAACTAATGATGCTATTTGAACCATTGGCAGAAAACCAATGATACTATTTGAACCATTGGCATCATGTCCAGGCATTGGCATCAGTCCCATTTGGGAAATCCCCTCCACAAATACGGCTTCATACCCGACATTGGGCCAGAAATGCTGCAAAGGCCGCAGTTTCATTCAACGTTCAACATCTGAAAGAGGAGCTTCAAGAAACTCAAAGTAAGTACATACTATTATAGTAACTATGTATGTAACGTTGCTGCAAACGCCGTTGGTAGCGGAAGCAGTAGCGGCAACGGAGAAATGACGGACGGAGAGCGAAAGAAATCGCCCTGGCGTACAATGCCGGCAAAGCTGTAAGTATATACAATATACAGGGTGTTCCACAATTATTTTAACAGCTGAAAATGAGGCGAACGCGTCGCATTAAAAAA